GTACCATCTGCTGCTGCTGTAGCATCGTCTGCTGCTGCTGTAGCATCGTCTGCTGCTGCTGTAGCATCGTCTGCTGCTGCTGTAGCATCGTCTGCTGCTGCTGTAGCATTGTCTGCTGCTGCTGTAGCACTGTCAGCTGCTGCTGCTGTAGCACTGTCAGCTGCTGCTGCTGCTGCTGTACCACCGTCAGCTGCTGCTGCACCACCGTCAGCTGCTGCTGCTGCACTGTCGGCTGCAGCTGCTGCTGTATCACCGTCAGCTGCTGCTGTAGTACCGTCTGCTGCTGCTGTAGCATCGTCTGCTGCTGCTGTAGCACTGTCAGCTGCTGCTGCTGCTGTAGCACTGTCAGCTGCTGCTGCTGCTGTAGTACCGTCAGCTGCTGCTGCTGCTGTAGTACCGTCTGCTGCTGCTGTAGCATCGTCTGCTGCTGCTGTAGCATCATCTGCTGCTGCTGTAGCATCGTCTGCTGCTGCTGTAGCATCGTCTGCTGCTGCTGTAGCACTGTCAGCTGCTGCTGCTGCTGCTGCTGTACCACCGTCAGCTGCTGCTGTAGCATCGTCTGCTGCTGCTGTAGCATCGTCTGCTGCTGCTGTAGCATCGTCTGCTGCTGCTGTAGCACTGTCAGCTGCTGCTGCTGCTGCTGCTGCTGTAGCACTGTCAGCTGCTGCTGCTGCTGCTGTAGCACCGTTGTTGGTGTGGCTTATTGAGAATACCAAGAAACAATTAACCCCAGAGGATTTGCCACCCAGGATAACCCAAAAAAGTCAGTGTCATCGAAGACTAACTTATTTCCACTGGGGTCCTTAATCTTGTCTCCCAGGATGCAACCCACACCAGTCGACTAACACCCAGGTGAACAGGGAAAAATGCCTGGAACTAGTGCTCATATTGGTGAATTTAAAGCCAGCAAAGGTTGGTTTGAGAGATTTAAGAATCATAGTGGCATACACAGTGTGATAAGGCCTGTTCTGGAAGAAAATGCCAAACAGGACCTACAGTACTCAGGAGGAAAAGGCACTCCCAGGACACAGTGTCTCATCAGTCATTGCTGCATCTTCAATAAAGGTAAGTGTCATTTATTCTTCATTTAGTAGAGCAGTACATGCACAATATATATTGTGCATGTACTACTCTACTATTGTGCATGTATCCTTCTCTTTGTGTGTAGGAAAATATATATTTCATGTAGTAAAAAAAATTTTTTCATACTTTTGGGTGTCTTATGGGGAAAATTCATTCGCATACCGAACATTTCGCATAACAATCAGCCCTCTTGCACGGATTAAAGTCGCTATGCGGGGGTCCACTGTAGTTCATATTCACTATCACTATCATCACCCATGCTCTCATCTGAGTCTGAGATTTGGGAAAATAGAAGTTTCCTCTTGGATTCTGGTACAACTGAACATGAACAAGACGGCCCAGCACCAGAGGTGGAAGGCTGAGGGTCGTCTGGGTTTTCCTCACTATTACCGATATTATGGTCATTAGTTTCGGTCAAAACCTCACCAAAACCTTGAAACTCATCTTCACTGGCACTTCCATCTGTATTAGAACTGTCACTGGGGAACAAAAGTGTCCCAATTCGCCGAGGAGTGAGGAGCTTCTTACCGCGAGGCATGGTGGATATTGTTTACTAAGATGGCGTTCCCACAATGCACCACTGGGTCCCAGATTTTTTTTCTACCGCGCACACCGACCACACAGACCCATTCTCTCACATGTAGGCCTACCAGCCTTTTCCCGTGAGATTTGACGGCGCTAGAATTTGTGCGTACTAGTACGTCAAAAACCCCTGCGCGTAAGACGTACTAGTACGTCCGAAACCCTCAAAGGGTTAATTTACATTTTTCAATACAAACAGCATGTGTGTCCCACTGAATAAGTATTTCTTATGTAAATTGATATTTTATGAAATATTAGTATAAATATCATATTAACCCTTAAACGGTCCAAAGGTATATATATGTTCACTCGCATAGCGCCCCAAACGTATATATACGTTTTATTTTTCCTGCCTCCATATTTGGCACGATTGGCCTGAGATGTTTGGTCAGCATAGAATTGGTCTTAACACTCGGTGTGCTGTGCACAGTATTAAAAAAAAATCTGGGACCACTTAGTACCTTGTGGGAGCACCAGTTAAACTGAGTACCAGCTAGAGCAAACAATGAGGCAAATACCAAGGATTCACTGATGTAATGTCATATTAACACTTCTCTTTTAAGAGGAAAGTGATGTTAACCCCAAGTTTAGGGTCTGTCGATCTGTCTATCTGTCTCTGTCTTTGTCTATCTCTATCTGTCTGTCTGTCTATCTGTGTCTCTCTGGCTTTGTCTGTCTGTCTCTCTCTTTCAATCTGTCTTTGTCTATCTCTGTCTCACAGGTACACATAAATACAAGTACAGTGGACCCCCGCATAGCGAACGCCTTGCATAGCGAACAATCCGCATAGCGAACGCTTTGTTCGCTGAAATTTTGCCCTGCATAGTAGACAAAAACCCGCTCAGCGAACTTCGTCCGAGACGCGTCCAATGTGGGCCCTCAGCCAGCCTCACATGTGCCGCCCGTCCCATTGTTTACCAGCTAGCCTCCGCGGTAACATTCAAGCATACACTCGGAATATTTCGTATTATTACAGTGTTTTCGGTGCTGTTTCTGGAAAATAAGTGACCATGGGCCCCAAGAAAGCTTCTAGTGCCAACCCTGTGGTAAAAAGGGTGAGAATTAGTATGGAAATTAAGAAAGATTTTGAAGGGTTTGGGGCTAACCCTGAGAAGCCTATGCCAGTTGTGGAATCCATTGTGCCTACTTCAAAAATTAAGGAAATGTGTGCACAGTGGGTTGAACTGCAAACCTTTATGGATGAAAATCACCCTGACACAGCTGTTGCAAGCCGTGCTGGTGACTATTTCAATGACAATGTTATGGCCCATTTTAGGAAAGTCTTGAAGGAACGGGAGGTACAGAGCTCTATGGACAGATTTGTTGTGCGACAGAGGTCCAGTGACTCTCAAGCTGGTCCTAGTGGCATTAAAAGAAGAAGGGAAGTAACCCCAGAAAAGGACTTGCTACCTCAAGTCCTAATGGAAGGGGATTCCCCTTCTAAACAGTAAGAAGATAATGCTCTCCCCTCCTCCCATCCCATCAATCATCACCAGATCTTCAATAAAAGTAAGTGTCATGTAATTGTGCATGCCTTTTTCAGTTTGTGTGTACTAAAATTAACATTTTTTTGTGGTAAAAAAATTTTTTTTTCATACTTTTGGGTGTCTTGCACGGATTAATTTTATTTCCATTATTTCTTATGGGGAAAATTAATTCGCATAGCGAACATTTCGCATAACGACCAGCCCTCTTGCACGGATTAAGTTCGCTATGCGGGGGTCCACTGTATAAGCAGTATAAATTACCTAGGATAACCCAAAAATCCAGACAAAGTGCTATACTCTGCTTGAAGATGTGAGTAAAGGTGATGACGCAGTCTTGTGGCTCTCTCTGAGACAGAGAGCCAGACGGATAGACAGACAGGGAGCTTGACAGACAGACAAATACAGACAGAAATGTTTGTGTACCAACAAAAACAAAGCTAGGGGGTTAGTCATCTAATCTTTTCTTATCAGCTGCACCCTCCCTCACCCTCGTTTATGCTCATCAAACGTCAGCTCTTGTCAGATGTTATCTCCCCTTATCATGTCACTGTCAGGGGTGGACTTTGTTTTCCATGCTTCAAGGGAACTTATTGTTACATATTATTATTATTATGTATTATTATTATTATGTATTATTATTATTATTATTATTAGCATTATCATTATCATCATTATCATTATCATCATTATCATCATCATCATTATCATTATCATCATTATCATTATAATCATTATAATCATTATAATCATTATCATCATTATCATCATTATCATCATTATCATTATCATCATTATCATCATTATCATCATCATCATCATTGTCGTCGTCGTCGTCGTCGTCGTCGTCTTCTTCTTCTTCTTCCACATATCCAAAACATTGCTGGGACATATAAATACTTTGTATATATTCCAAGACAATAGTAAATGGCTAAGGTAGGTGTAAATGTCCACCTGTCAGTGTGTTTGTGACAATTTGAGTAAATTTCAGTACCTAATACTAGTGTCAGAACAAAGATTGGTTATAAAATGACAAGAACTACTATAAATTGTAATTCTCAGAACTTAAAAATTACGTAAAATAATATGAAAAATAAAAAACAAGGTATATCAGCAACACTTCTGCAAGCGGCAGGACTCGATGTTGCTGTCACATGAGCATCCAGTGCCAACTTCTCCGCCTCGCCTCATATCTCGGTAAGTACTGACCCTAAAATATTTTTTTATTCTGTAACACTTAAAAAAAGGTGCTTTTTTTCTTCTTCTTCTTCTTCTTTTTTTTTAAATATTCGGGGTGCTGCGCGAGTGAACGTATATATACGTTTGGAGGTTTAAGGGCTAATTTTGGTTGTGCAGCACATCTGAGCCAGTCAGTACTTAATACTGATCACTGGCAGAATGTAAACACACACACACCAAGCTGTTGGCATAGGTTAGGTGGGCTTGGTTAGATTTGGTTACAGCTTTTACCATTTTTCATAGGCTTCTGTCTGTTAAATGTTTTCTCACCACTTAATGACATTTATGCCTTACCACTAAGTGTTGGGTACACTGTATGAAAGATTTCAGGGTGAGCATAGTTATTGCATCAAGTTTTCATAGTCCTCATAAGATATTGGAATTGGATTGTGAAGCATTTATAGGTGACTCAAGGATTTATTGCTTGTACATACATTATGTATTACTCTTTGTATAAAAGAAGTAGCTTCCTGGTTAATGTTATGGTTCCATACAGCTTATGCATGTACAGTAATTTAACCACAATGAAGGACAATTAAATTTCATGAGCTTTCATGATCTCTCATTGATAACACTGCAGTACTAATAATTATAATATTTTTGTTTTTTTAGTTCTCAAAGAAGGAGTGCTGGACCCATCATCAACAGTATTAGCAATCTTCCCTTCACCAATGATGTATGCAGGACCTACTGAAGTACAGTGGCATGCTAAGGCACGTATGGCTACTGGTGCCAACTTCTATATTGTTGGACGTGATCCTGCTGGCATGCCACACCCACGTGCTCAGAAAGATCTTTATCATGCACAGCACGGCCGCAAAGTGCTGACTATGGCCCCTGGTCTCACTCAGCTTGAGATAATTCCTTTCCGAGTTGCTGCTTATGATAAAGCAGCTGGTAAAATGGCCTTCTATGATCCAGCACGAAAGTCAGACTTTGAATTTATCTCTGGTACAAAAATGCGCACCCTAGCTCGCAATGGTGACAATCCTCCTGATGGTTTCATGGCCCCATCAGCATGGAAGGTTCTGAGTTCTTACTACCAAAGTCTGAGTAAAGAATAGGGATTGAGTATTGGAAAATTAGCTGCTTGGAATATTAAGGTAAAATATATTGTTTTAAATAGCACCAACATTTATGTTACTGTTAGAAAACATACTTATTACTGAGAATATTTTCTGTTATCAGTAATACAGTTTTCTCTTGTATGCAAATTTTATTTATTAAGAAGGCATTATTTTTCACAAAAATTACCTGAATTATTATTTACATAAAAGATTACTTTTATTATCTAACCAGTAGAGTATTTTAGAAAAACTGATGAAGTACCAAACCAAGTGCATCATAATAAAATTTGGCAAAATATTAATGAGCAGTTTTGTTAAATGCAAATTATATAAGCACATTTAGATGCAAGATATTTGGGTCAGCACTGGTGTTCATGTATGCATATTTGGGCATATTACCTGCAACATATAGTCCTCACTTTATAAGTTAAGAATTATTTAGATTGCAGGCTTTGCTTTTTCCACCTCCATAACTCAAGTCTAGCTAACTGATTTCCCTAAATCACTTTATAAATGCTACCCTGCTCACACTCCAACAACACATCCATTAAAAACCACTTGTCTCCACTCACTCCCATCTAACATGCTCACATATTCCTACTGGATGCTTATTTCCCCTAAAACTCATAGCCTCTTATACCACCTCCCCAACGATTCCTGGGACCCCACATGCATACACCCTCTTTGTCAGCGTATGTATGTACATGTGTGTGTTTATATACATGCACGCACTCAAGTCATTCCTGTTAAGCTGAACATGCCATAAAGGCTCAGCGCTCTTAAAAATTTAACTCTTCAAACAAATTTTACATTGGCCAAGGAAAAAAAATTTAGACTAAACTTAACTTAGAAACCTCACCTGACCGAACATTTTTTTTTTTTTAGCTAAATTACATATATGTATATGTCATACCACATAGGTAAAACTTGCGATTTTGTCTTAAATGACAACGCTTTTCTTGCCAAATAAGGCAAGCAAAAATTTGCGTATGCAATAATTTCGCAAAACTCTTTCTGAACCTAACAAAAAAATATATTTCATTGTGTTTGTTTATTATTAAATTATTTTTAATTTATCTAAAATATATTTAGTTGGATTAGGCTAAATTAAATTGCGCTTGTTATAATATATACACGTCTTTCTTTCAACACACCGGCCGTATCCCACCGAGGAATATATACACGTATATATGTATATATTTTTTTTTGTTTTGTTTTGTTTTTTGTTTTTTTAAACAAACTGGTCGCATCCTACTAAGGCAGGGTAGCCCAAAAAGAAAAACAAAAGTTTCTCTTTTTAAATTTAGTAATTTATACAAGAGAAAGGGTTACTAGCCCCTTTCCCCTGGCATATGTCCTGTCAAAGGGCAATGTGTGGTGTAAATATTATGCAGAAAATCCGGAGTGTGGAAATTAGGAGAAGGTGTGGAGTTAATAAAAGTATTAGTCGGAGGGCTGAAGAGGGGTTGTTGAAGTGGTTTGGTCATTTAGAGAGAATGGATCAAAGTAGAATGACATGGAGAGCATTTAAATCTGTAGGAGAAGGAAGGCGGGGTAGAGGTCGTCCTCGAAAAGGCTGGAAGGAAGGGGTAAGGGATGTTTTGTGGGCGAGGGGCTTGGACTTCCAGCAGGCGTGCGTAAGCATGTTCGATAGGAGTGAATGGAGATGAATGGTATTTGGGACCTGACGCTCTGTTGGAGTGTGAGCAGGGTAATATTTAGTGAAGGGATTCAGGGAAACTGGTTATTTTTATATAACCAGACTTGAGTCCTGGAAATGGGAAATACAATGCCTGCACTCTAAAGGAGGAGTTCGGGATATTGACAGTTTGGAGGGATATGTTGTGTATCTTGATATTTATATGCTTCTAAGCTGTTGAGGTTTGAGCACCTCTGCAAAAACAGTGATTATGTGTGAGTGAGGTGAAAGAGTTGAATGATGGTGAAAGTATTTTCTTTTTGGGGATTTTCTTTCTTTTTGGGTCACCCTGCCTCGGTGGGAGACAGCCGACTTGTTAAAAAAATATATATTATACACCTACCATCCGACTTACGACCAAGCTTGGGTCTGACCAGCTGGTCGTAAGTCAAAATGGACGTAAGTCGAATCTTTGAAAATTGCCGACATACTGGGTAGGGCCTAATGTCGAACTTTTTCTATATAAACTACCTACATAGTACTGTAATGTAATGTATAATCATTATTTCATTCTTTTTACCATAATTTACTTCTATTGTTGTATTTTAATTATTTATGTACTGTATATAATGTATACATGTTAGTGAACTCTATTGTAAATTTTACATCGCATACAGTATCATATGTTACTGTTATCTTTATGTATTGTCGACACAGTGAATGGGAGAATACCACTGGTAATGTCATCCTACCAGAATGTAGTATAACCTATACCCTAAGTAAAGAGAAACAACTCTGGAACATGTGTAATGCATAGCTGGCCGGGTGGGTGGGTGGCCGGGTGGATGGTTGGCTGACTGAATGTGGCTCTCTCTCTGTATATCTCTCTCTGTATCTCTCTCTCTGTATCTCTCTCTCTCTATATCTCTCTCTCTCTCTGTATCTCTCTCTGTATCTCTCTCTCTGTATTTCTCTCTCTGTATCTCTCTCTCTCTGTATCTCTCTCTCTGTATCTCTCTCTCTCTCTGTATCTCACTCTCTCTGTATCTCTCTCTCTCTATCTCTCTGTATCTCTCTCTCTGTATCTCTCTCTCTGTATCTCTCTCTCTCTGTATCTCTCTATCTGTATCTCTCTCTCTGTATCTCTCTCTCTCTGTATCTATCTCTCTCTCTCTGTATCTCTCTCTCTCTCTGTATCTCTCTCTCTCTGTATTTCTATCTCTCTGTATCTCTCTCTCTGTATCTCTCTCTGTATCTCTCTCTCTCTGTATCTCTCTCTCTCTCTGTATCTCTCTCTCTCTGTATCTCTCTCTCTCTGTATCTCTCTCTCTGTATCTCTCTCTCTGTATCTATCTCTCTGTATCTCTCTCTGTATCTCCCTCTCTGTATCTCTCTCTCTCTCTCTCTCTCTCTCTCTCTCTCTCTCTCTCTCTCTCTCTCTCTCTCTCTCTCTCTCTCTGTTATCTCCCTCTCTGTATCTCTCTCTCTGTATCTCTCTCTCTGTATCTCTCTCTCTCTCTCACACACAGGTACACGTAAGTGAAATTATCATACATAGTATAAATTACCTAGGATAACTCAAAAAATCCAGGCAAAGTGCTGTACAGTGGATCTGTGCTCCAGTGCCCTAAATTAATAATATTAATTATTATTATTATTATTATTATTACAATAATACATATGTACTAATATTAATAATAATATTATTATTAAACTATAATATAAGCTCCTGGAGAGCGAAACATTGCCACAATAAAATGTCACATTAGTTGCACTTGTGTCCTTTTACTGTCCACTCATTACTTACCTTAAAATATCTGTAGTCTTAATGTAGAGTGAGAGGTGAGTAAACAAGATTAAATGAATAAACGAATGAGAGTGTAGAAGGTTGGCGAGTTATGTAAACAAACGTTGCTGTTGTTGCCAGCCCGGACACGAATGGTTCCTGTTCACTCTGTCAAGCCAACCAGAAAAACATCTCATATTTGTTAATTTATATGTTTATATGTTATGTAGCATGTTTATTATATAATTTTGAAAAAGAAATCATGGATGGATTAAGCAAAATGTCTATATCAACGTTTTATACACATTTAATGCGCCTCAGTGATTATTATTGTGTTATTATCATTATTAATATGGCGTCTTTAAGACCAATTACACTCTTAATGAGTGGCTCTGAGACAGATAAGCAGACAGAAAGACACACACAGGTAGACAGAGACAGGCACACAGGTAGACAGAAAGACACACACACCAGTAGACAGAAAGACAGGTAGACAGAAAGACACACACAGGTAGACAAAGACACACAGGTAGACAGAAAGACACAGAGGTAGACAGACACACAGGTAGACAGAAAGACACAGGTAGACAGAGACAGGCACACAGGTAGACAGAAAGACAGACACACCAGTAGACAGAAAGACAGGTAGACAGAAAGACACATACAGGTAGACAAAGACACACACAGGTAGAGAGAGACACAGGTAGACAGAGACACACACAGGTAGACAGACACACACAGGTAGACAGAAAGACACACACACAGGTAGACAGAAAGACACACAGGTAGACAGACACACACAGGTAGACAAAGATACACAGGTAGACATAAAGATAGACACACAGGTAGACATAGACACAGGTAGACAGAAAGACAGATACACAGGTAGACAGATACAGACACACAGATATAGAGGCAGACAGATACAGACAGGTTTATGTGCGACAGTGAAAAATAGAGAGTTCGAGAGTAAGAGCCTTTCGTGCCACAATCTCCAGTGCAAGATTCAGACTTCATCTTAGGGGCCATGGTGAAATTTACTGTCCAGTTAGTACAGTTAATACAGTATGATGCTGCTGATAGGGCAGGGTAACTCAAACTGATGCTGCCTGCATGACTCATTGCCGCCGTGAGTATTGTCAAATGTTGTACAGTGGTGTGCATCAGCCGGCGCCCAGCCCAGCTGCCAGATGCACGGTCGTAAGTCGAGTGGACGTGTCGAGCAGGTCGTAAGTCAGATGGTAGGTGAATATATATATATATATATATATATATATAATATATATATATATATAATATATTATATATATATATATATATATATATATATGTATATATGTATATATATATATATATGTATATATATATATATTATATATATGTATATATATATATATATGTATATATATATATATATATATATATGTATATATGTATATATAAATATATTATATATATATATATATATATTATATATAATATATATTTATATATATATTTCAACAAGTCAGCCGTCTCCCACCGAGGCAGGGTAACCCAAAAAGAAAGAAAATACTTTCATTATCATTCAGCATTTTCACCTCACTCGCACATAATCACTGTTTTTGCAGAGGTGCCCAGAATACAACAGTTTAGAAGTATATACATATAAAAATACACAATATATCCATCCAAACTGCCAATATCCCAAACCCCTCCTCTAGAGTGCAGGCATTGTACTTCCCATTTCCAGGACTCAAGTCCGGTTATATAAAATGACCGGTTTCCCTGAATCCCTACACTAAATATTACCCTGCTCACACTCCAACAGCTCGTCAGGTCCCAAATACCATTTGTCTCCATTCACTCCTATCTAACACGCTCACGCACGCCTGCTGGAAGTCCAAGCCCCTCGCCCACAAAACCTCTCTTACCCCTTCCTTCCAACCTTTTCGAGGACGACCCCTACCCCACCTTCCTTCGCCTACAGATTTATACGCTCTCCATGTCATTCTACTTTGATTCTCTCTAAATGACCAAACCACCTCAACAACCCTCTTCAGCCCTCTGACTAATACTTTTATTAACTCCACACCTCCTAATTTCCACACTCTGAATTTTCCGCATAATATTTATACCACACATTGCCCTTAGACAGGACATCTCCACTGCCTCCAACCACCTACTCGCTGCTGCATTTACAACCCAAGCTTCACACCCATATAAGAGTGTTGGTATTACTATACTTACATTCCCTTTTCCTTCTAGTTCTTATTCTTGCTTATTTCCTCTTATCTCCATGGGGAAGTGGAACAGAATTCTTCCTCCGTAAGCCATGCGTGTTGTAAGAGGCGATTAAAATGCCGGGAGCAAGGGGCTAGTAACCCCTTCTCCTGTATAAATTACTAAATTTAAAGAGAAACTTTCATTTTTCTTTTTGGGCCACCCTGCCTTGGTGGGATACGGCCGGTTTGTCAAAAAAAAAAAATTATCCTAGGTAGTAGGCTGGTTGACAGCAATCACCAAGGAGGTACTACTGTTGTGCTAAGCGAGTGTGAAACAGAAGCCTGTAATTATTTTACATGATGGTAGGATTGCTGGTGTCTTTTTTCTGTCTCATAAACATGCAAGATTTCAGGTACGTCTTGATGCTTACTTAGGTCACTCTGCACATGCATAGACAAGCATATATGTACATACACCCCTCTGGGATTTCTTCTATTTCCTTACTAGTTTTTGTTCATTTCCTCTTATCTCCTTGAGGAAGTGGAACAGAATTCTTCCTCCATAAGTCATGCGTGTCATAAGAGGTGACTAAAATGCTGGGAACAAGGGGCTAGTAATCCCTTCCCCTGTATATATTACTAAATTTAAAAGGAGAAACTTTCATTTTTTTCTTTTCAACCACCCTGCCTCGGTGGGATACACACGGTTTGTTGAAAGAAGAAGATATATATACACGTACATATATTTTTACACTCCTACCATCTCCCATCTAGGCAGGGTGACCCAAAATAAAAAGAAACACTTTCACCATCATTCACACATAGTCGCTGCTTTTGCAGAGGCGTGCAGATACAACAGTTGAGATGTCATAAAATCTCGGTTTTGTCAACTACTTTTTTATTTATACTGAGTCAGAACAAAGATTAACTGTAATATAAACCATTTTCTGTATTTAAATTATATATTAAGTTCAAGGTAAGGCTGGAGGGCGGGGGTAAAAGAGGTTTTGCATGCAAGGGGCTTGGACATGCAGCAGGCATGCGTGAGCATGTTAGGAGTGATTGGAGATGAATGGTTATTGGGACCTGATGAGCTGTTGGTAGTATTTTGTGAAGGGATTCAGGAAAAATTGGTTAGCTGGACTCTAGTCCTAGAGGTGGGAAGTACAATGCCTGCACTTTAAAGGAGGGGTTTGGAATATTGACTGTTTCGAGTGACATCTAAAATGTCATATCAGGGCACCTCTGCAATGACAGTGATATTGTGTGAATGATGGTGAAAGTGTTTCTGCTTTGGGTCACCCTGCTTCTGTGAGAGATGACAGACGTGTTAAAAAAAATTATAATTAAGTAATGCTGTTAACAAGGCTAAGATATCTAAGTTGATGATCTTGGTACATTTGTTTATGGTTGAGAATATTGACTTGTAAGATAATGAGCAGAAAATGTTAAGCAAAGCTTTCACAAATTAAAAGTAGGTTCTTAAGATAAGGAATATTATACACGGTGAACCATGTTTTATTTTATTTATTAACACACTGGCTGATACCCACCAAGGCAGGGTGGCCCGAAAAAGAAAAACTTTCACCATCATTCACTCCATCACTGTCTTGTCAGAAGGGTGCTTTACACTACAGTTTTTAAACTGCAACATTAACACCCCTCCTTCAGAGTGCAGGCACTGTACTTCCCATGTCCAGGACTCAAGTCCGGCCTGCCGGTTTCCCTGAATCCCTTCATAAATGTTACTTTACTCACACTCCAACAGCACGTCAAGTATTAAAAACCATTTGTCTCCATTCACTCCTATCAAACACGCTCACGCATGCTTGCTGGAAGTCCAAGCCCCTCGCACACAAAACCTCCTTTACCCCCTCCCTCCAACCTTTCCTAGGCCGACCCCTACCCCGCCTTCCTTCCACTACAGACTGATACACTCTTGAAGTCATTCTGTTTCGCTCCATTCTCTCTACATGTCCGAACCACCTCAACAACCCTTCCTCAGCCCTCTGGACAACAGTTTTGGTAATCCCGCACCTCCTCCTAACTTCCAAACTACGAATTCTCTCCATTATATTCACACCACACATTGCCCTCAGACATGACATCTCCACTGCCTCCAGAACCATGTATACATATTTAACTCTTTCAGGGTTTCGGCCGTACTAGTACTGCTTATGCCCCAGGGTTTTTGACGTACTAGTATGCCTAAATTCTAGCGCCCTCAGATCTAGCAAGAGAAAGCTGGTAGGCCTACATATGAAAGAATGGGTCTGTGTGGTCAGTGTGCGCAGTATAAAAAAAATCCTGCAGCACACAGTGCGTAATGAGAAAAAAAAAACTTTGACAGTGTTTTTGGATTAAAACAGCGACTGTGCACTGTATTTTCATTGTTGTATTCTAGTTTTCCTGGTCTCATTTTATAGAATGGAAGGCATATTACAGAAATTGAGATGATTTTGACTGGTTTTACAATGAAAAGTACCTTGAAATGGAGCTCAAAATAGCAGAAATGTTTGATTTTTACCAAAGTTCAGAAGTAAACAAATCATGCCAAGCGTCCAATACACGTCAACTGGTGAGTCTAATATTCTTTCACAAGTGCACTGATATTATTTATACCATTTCTACACTAATGCAGTAGTCTGCATAACAGTAAATCTTCTATTTTTTGTAAGAATATAAATTCAAAGTGGAAAGCCAAAGAAATATAAGAGGGGCCTGGGGATGTGACTAACGAACAGAGAACTTGTTATTTTAGTGCCAGGAATGTCTTGTTTATTCTGGACCCTATTCGGAAATTGGCATCTTTTGAAATTTGTGTGAAGTTGGCAAAATTGCTAAATTCTGACCCCTTTATTGGATAGTTGAAATCGGTAAATGGGTGGTTTCTTGTACTCATTCAATAGAAAAAATGGAGTTCTAGCGAAATAGTTATGATTTTTGCTGACTAGTACACTGGAATTGGCCGAAAATAGGGCTCAAAGTGGGCAAAATCGCTGATGCGTAAACATCGTCGAGACCACTAACTTCGCGAGAGCATAATTCCGTAAGTTTTCCATTAAATTTCACACTTTTGGTGTCATTATGATAGGGAAAAGATTCTCTTATCTTTTCATAAGAAAAAATAATTTTTTTTTTTTTTTAAATTTGGGGACCCTGAGAACAAGTCTCGGAGAGGGCCTGTGGACCCTGAAAGTGTAAATTGTGGTAATTTTAAGAGTAAATACAGATAAGATGATCTGGTTAACACAGTTGACTAGATGAATGTATATATAGAAGCACCAGGCAACTTTTTTTTT